TAAGTAATATATTTATAGGAAAATATAAATAAAGTTACTTAAATATTTAAATAATTTTATAAAAAAATAAGTAAAGTAACTAAAATATTAAAAAAAAAACTGTTACAATTTCGAATTGTTAGCAACCGCGCTACGTAATACGGCAACACGTGACAGATGAGACAGGATATTAATAGGGTCATTTTTCGTGTTGCACCGCGGATACATCCAAGGACATTTGGGTCCCCCTGGAAATCCTCACCTGTGAACCGACCCGGTTACGGAAGGGTTGTAACTTAACGGATTTGAATGAAATATGTCACACAGACGGACTAAATCCCGTATTAACTTGTAGCATACTGAAAAAAGGTGCATTGTAAAAATAACAAAATTTATATATATACAGTGTAATTCTATAGTAGTTCAGGTAGCACAATTACACTCGTATATTTAAATTGTATTTACTCTTATGTACATCTTAATTATGTAACACAATCTAAGACTGCAATAAATACATATTATTATTATAATTTTCATCACATAATATACTGACTTTCGTAAAAAAAATATAGTTATATTTAAAACTACATATATACATATATATGTAGTTTTAACTATATTAATATAACTATATTTTTTCACATATGCATGTGAATCGGTTAATGTACATCTTAACTTTTTCTTGAAACCACTACGCACTCATTCTGAGTGCAACCATAAAGTATTGTCAGCGCTATAAATTTTAAGTTTTTTCTACAAAATCATTTCATTCATCATTTACAAACTCCTCAATTTTATAATAAAAAATTTTACAGATAAAGTATTTTATACGACATTTAAATCTTTCAGACTCTGGTAGTTTGTTGTAAAACCTTATTTGCGTAAAGTTTTACATACCATTTTACACACCATACATATTACCACAAAATGAATTCTTGCTAATTTATGAAAGGGCTGGACGATTTTGACGCGACTTTCTTTATTTCTTTCACGGAAGAAGTCCGGTGTAAGAGATGATAATGCGTGTTAAGATATAATAGAATAGAATAGAAAATCATTTATTCAAATAAACTTAATTTAATCACTTTTGAATAGGCTTAACAATTTTTTTTTATTTATCTACCACTCGTTCGGAAAGCTGTCTCATCACAAGAAAAACAGGCAAGACACTTGTGTGTTGCTCTTTTAAATAATCCTTGTAAGTTTACATTTACAAGTCGAAACGTGTGAATACAAAGTACCAACCAGCACAATTTTTTTTGAATCAGATATAAATATACGATAAGATTAAATCAGTCGTAGTGATTAGAGCAGACCAGTCCCTACAAGCAGCACTCACGAGTATGACGGATGAGCCAGCCATCACTACGCTCGACCATATTTTAGGGAGCCCAATGACCCGGCCCACCACGCCGCCACATGTATGGACATTTTAGTGATCATGACTACTCATTCCACTCGACCACGTCACAGCTACTTAAAATTACTATATGGTAGTCACAGTATTCGCACTTTACATGAGGATGTATGCGGCAATCAATACAAAAGCCGCTACGCTATCATATATCAAGAAAGCAGTATGAAAAATAAATTATAACGTTGTTGTCCGCAAATAAACTTATTCTTGCTAGATATTGCTATCATCTATAAATTCATCTATCCTATAATAGGCTTTTTTACATAACATTTGTTTAATATAAAATTTGAATTGCCTCTCTGTCAGATTTAGCGTAGATACTAGCGTAGAATCTTACGCAAAATTGGATCGATTGCAATTTTACGATTAAGGTCTTGTTAAGAAACTTATAGTACCTAACCTCTGGTACACCTTTACGTTTATAAATATATTATACCTTACGTCTATTAATAATCGACTTCACTATCAATTTATGTGTTATGGGAATGTTATGATGTGCTGATCCCATTATAGGTCACTCAGGACTAATACGTCTTGTTAGGTTTACGATGCATCCCGTATACGATAAGTGAAGGCGTATACACGAGTATTAACGGGAACGCAATGACATATAGGGTGGTAACAGTGAAATAGGTTATGGCATATAGGTGACAAAAGGATCGAAATGTATTTCAACCTCCGAATCAGTTGATAATGGACGTAGAGCTGGTAAAGTGTATATGTATTAAAATCTAATAAGTTAAATATTAAATTTCGATATATATATGTACATTTAGATGATGAACGTCGAGCTGGTAAAATATTTATATATAAGTAAGTACATTTGAATTCAACTAATTCGAAAATTCAAATTCTCGTGTCACCGTGTTAGTTATGTTATACAGATTTCTCGGAAACGTCAATTTTAATGAAATTTTATATGTCCACTTTGTAGGTCTGAGAATAGGTTGTTATCTATTATCGATACTCATGAGTGACAAGGTTGGCTCACATCATTTTTTTATTGTTATGATGTAATTTTTATTTTTACCGTTTTACGATCAACCACTATTATTTAACAGCGACATTAATTTATATGGCAAAACATTATTTTCCAGATCCTGTCATAATATATAAATCGGGGTAATTGGCTTTTCATTTATATCGTTAATACCTAAAAGAATATTTATTCGTAAAGTACGATTTAAATTTTCATGTTAACTTGTTTCTATTTCAATGTGAAGGTATTGTGTACCCCTTACAATAAGAACTTCGTAGACCTAGTGACTGTACCTGTGAATATTTAATTTAATTTATTTAAATTTATACATATAACTTCAAATATACCAAATCTTATATTAAAATACCAACAATGTTTTATTCTTCACTTATTAATATACGAGCCGACCTACGTGTATCATATTTTACAAGTTTTTGCAACATTTTTCAATGATCTTCGTGTTCTGCTTCTATAGTAAACATGATGTCATATAACATTCTCACACAAATGTATCCAATACTAAATATTTTTTTAAATTGCAAACAGCCTTTGCTAAGATGACTGTAGTCAACCTACTAAACAAACTGCAATTTTATAATATCAATATAGATAAAGCTAATGTAATAAAAAAAAATCATACATGTCATAACACTTATTGACACAAAAAAAAAACAATCACGCGGCACATCGAGGCAGTGCTAAGATACTGGCAGCGTTGTCTCTTTGAATGGCCATGCTTACCTTCTCAGAAAAGCAACCAGCTCTCGGGTCACGCATAACCTCGAGGAGCCGCGCTGGAATACACGTCCAAAAATAATTTAGCTTCTGGGTTCCACGGGTCCAACTTCTCCGTGGCAAATGGCAAATACAAGTACGACCTGCCTTGGATAAAAAACTCATTATTTTTAAGACATTCTAATCGATTGGCAGACTTGTCTTGGCTTAATAATTTACATGTCATGCATGAAGATCACACACAACCCAAGCACACATTTTTTTAAATATACAAGTAATATACGTATATATATTTTTAGTGCTCCCATTGATATTAAACAATATAAGTTGCATGATTAACTAAACAGTTATAAACATTTTTGACCGTTTGATCAAATTTCACAACATCTCATTTTTCATTTCAGTATTTTGTAAGCTCGGAGAAGCGCCTGCACCCTCTCTGGCATTTTGTTATGATTCTCTAAAATCTGGTCTTTGTTTTTCGGTCGTCTTGGGTCAATTGCAAGACGAATTTGACCTTCTTGTGCTCGATTGGATAAAATGAATCCAAAGCTGTATGCTTTGGGTCATTATTTGAAAGATGACGCGTGACTTTTCAAAGCCATACCATTCAATGGTCTGGAAAGTTCCTCTTTAAGGATGCCTTGATAGAGCTCCGAGTTCATATTTCCAATCAGTAATATATCCGGGGCCATCGGCAGTGATACAGCCCCATACCATGATATTTCCTCCACCATCAGCGTCGACTCAATGACGCGGGTCTCTAGCGTTTTACCTGGTCGTTTCCAGATTTATTTTATTTGACCCTGCGCCAATCCTCCACCGTCCAATGGCGGTACAAACTATATTTGCCGATGACGCTTCGTTAAAAGCGGCTTGCGGATCTACCAAGCTTGGCCTTCTTGAGTGTCCGACGTATAGTTTCGGCACTTGTGGAGACGTCCATGGCATTGGTAAAACATGGGAATGATAAGCCTCACCACATTTTGATAACTTCCTTGGGCGCCCTTTTTAGTATTGTAGAACTCACGGAAAGTTCTTGGGCCACCCTACGGGCGGATACGCCTTCGTTAATTCGCTTGATAACTTCGGATTTGAGGGCAGGAGAAATAGGCTTCATGGTCAAGTTGGATGAAAAGTATTGGATAAGAGAGGGAGGAAGTAGATATATTTCCAGTTAGCTATTAGTGTTTTTATCTTCAGTGGATAGGTAGATCGAACGGAATATCACATATATCGCGAGATTGTCCTAAACGGTCAAAAATGCCCCAATAGTTTTTATATTTACAGTGGCATAAGATCATAGCCTGCCAATAGTAATTCATCATTGGCGGCTTAAGCCAAGAAGCAGGGCTATCACAACTAATAACTATCCTCATATCATAACAGGCGATGGAATACGAAATGGTCAAACATTGGGGCATTTTTGTGAGTCACTATATACGTATATATATTTTTTTTAATAATAACCATCTAAACAGATTTTTTTTTTAATCTTTTTGTTATGATAAAACCTTCTTTGATTTGTACGTTTTTGTAACAGATAAAATGAATCTTCTTTTAAGAATCTTTTAAACATTTGAAAAGTTAATTTATCACCGAATATCATGAGATTTATTTTATTTAAAAAAACATAGAGGTCTCTACAAGAACACGTGGGAAGCCCAAACGGATGTTTTATATTAGTTGAAACTGTAAGAGGTACTTATTAATTCAATTTGGTTTATTTTGTTAAGAATAACTTTCAACTATTTATTATGTGTGTCCATTTTAGTAGTTCGACTAATAAATTCAAACTTATAATTAGATTCAAAAATAACAGAAACTATGTTGTTTAAATAACTATTAAATTCTGTAACTCATCCAAATTATTCTGGTTTTATTTTCCAGGCTCGTGTCTAAGCTACGGTCACTCGTGTTGGGGAGGTGAGTAGAGATATACATACATAAGAAAATAATTTTTAACACACCTAAGCCTAAATTATAATAATAATAATAATAAGAATCTCAGAATAATTCACCTAGTGCCATCTAGACCCAAGTTAAGCTAGCTAAAGCTTGTGTTATGGGTAGGAACTAGATAACTGATACAAATAGATAAATAGATATATATTTTTTTTCTGCAAAACATACATATTATACATAGAGAACACCCATACTAATACAAACTATTTCATGAATACAAATGTTTGTACCGTACGAGGAATCGAACCCTCGACTATCGGAAGTATAGCGGTATTGTAAACCGCTAGACCACTGAGGCCGTCGTAAATCTAAATTCACCGGTTTTTGATATATAAATGTAAATAGTGAAGATATATTCTATAATCGTTGCTATTTTTCAAATTTCGAACAGATTGCCGAGCGGCGTCATCAGTAGGCGATGATTTAAAAAACTAAAATGGCGCGAAATATGTGTCACTATAATATTTGTATTTTCACTGTTTCAATTATGAAAAATAAACAACATGATGTTTTTTTAATCTGTTTCTTCACAAGTGTGTTGAAAAACGTCTTACATTAAACATGCGTATTAAACACGCTCAGGTATATTACGCAAATGTAATGAAATTTCGCCTCGTGTGTTATAACCATTATAAAGTACTTACATAAAATATTTTTATATAACTGGACTGGCAAACGACCTAACCATCCATCTAGTAAAAAGTGGTCTACTGTCACCTATATTCATGAAGAGCATCACACTTGTCTCAAAATACATGGTAACCGTACGGTTACGAACCGTATGGTCCTGAAGATATAGTTGATATGACTCTGACTGTAATTTACTGAAACATCTCAGTAACAAACTGAAAGTAATTTATACTGTAGGTAGAAATAAGTGAAGTATATGCATTCTAAGCAAACGACTTAGTACAAAGTATACCATGGTAAAATATCTAAGAGAACTGTTGAAAGCTTATGCACATTATTTTTCTTGTGATTTATCTAGTCCAATATTAAAACTTTAGTACATATTTTTGTTTTTTTTTTTTAATGTAATATTTATCATTTTCTATTTTAAGAATGTTATCACAATGTATAAATTTGTTCAAAGACATTGCAATTATTTATTTGAATTTCGAATTATTTTCATCGGATTTAAAAGCATTTAAATATAGAATTTATGTTTTGGCGCGCAATTATTATAAGCTGATTTGATATAACTAACTACATACTTTTATAAAGATAGCTGAAATAAAAAAAAACATAATTGTTTTTTTTACCAAAAGATAAACTAAACTGTCTCTCGTTCTAACAGATTTTTATATAAATTCTCGCTGTTTTATTATTTTATAATAGAAACGTAATGATAAATTGTATTCTATTTTTGGGAAAAAGAAATAACTTTCCGAGTTAATACCATAGAGTAATATGTTCATTGCTCTATTTTTCATTGGAAAGTTTTCTACATTTTCTAACCATAAGTATTGGAATCCAATATAGTATTCTGTAAATACCATGGTTTAATTTGTTTCTCTAACGGTGTTTCCATTAACGGAAAATTATATTTATATGGACAAATTCATATTGCTTGCCATTTGCAATTTGAATTTAATCCGCTTGCATAAATTGGTTCCTTTTAGTTTCTACCAAAGCGAACGAAATCGAATTCAATACACTATACACTGTAATTAAAACAAGTTTTAAGTCCCTTAACTTAAATAACTGAGCAACGGGTTCGATTCAGTATATTTTGTAAGTAATAATTCATCGTATAATTGAAATACATTTCTGGATAATTGACAAATATTATTTATTTATTTATTTATAACTGCACATGTATATACATAAATTTACATACAATAAAGCAACAATACACATGGACTCTGTTTAAAGAGTATAGCAATTACGTAGATAACTCATTCCCAAAACGATTTTTAAAATTTAAGTCTGTTGTAGTGTCTACTTAGCTGATACAGTACGTCTGTTAAAAATTATATTACTGTATAGGAAGGTTTTTCGGTCAGTAATTCTTCAAGCTTTTTTTTAAATAAATTAATGTTTTCCGGAATTTTGTTATATATTGCAATAGATCGGTAATAGGGACTTGCCCTAAATATTTCTATTTTAGGTTCTAGTAGGACTAGTCGGCTTTTGAATCTATTATTACATTTAAAATTAAAATATGATAAATGCTCATGAACAAATATAGCTATCTCCAATATATAAATAGACGGTAAAGTTAATATTTTTAGTTATTATTGAACGCTTTGTGTTGCTGTTACAACTGTCAAATCGCTTTATGTTTAACTTTTTTTCTATTAATATATTTCTTTTTCTCTTTGCAGTTAAAATATAATCCCTTTATTATCAATTAATACAGGATTAACTAGTGACCTGTTCCGGCTTCATACGGATGCATAACAATTTTTTTAATTTCTCTGCTTGTTCTATACAATATAATAACTAGCAAGTACGTCCTCTTGAATCACTCTATCTATCGTTGAAAACTGCATTAAAGTTCGTTGCGTAATTTAAAAGATATAAGCGAACGGACAACGGCTGTAAGTTTGTATTGTACGATGTAAAAGAGCTTTAATGTACAAATACAAAAATAAAAATGCATATTGTGGACTTAACACCATAGAATAGAATAGAATAGAATAGAAAATCATTTATTCAAATAAACTTACATTGAAGCACTTTTGAATAGTCATAACATTTTTTTTTAATCTACCGCTCGTTCGGAATGCTGTCTCATCACAAGAAGAACAAGCAAGAAACTTGTGTGTTCCTCTTTTAAATAATTTATTCTTAGTTACAATTTAAGTTTAAGTGTGTGAATACAAACCACCGATTAGCACTAATTCAATGAAATAATAAAATAGAAAAAACATTTAATATACAACAACTGGTTAAACAATTAATAAGAGAAAATAAGTCATAATGATTAGAGCAGACCAGTCCACACAAGCAGCACCCGTTCACGAGTATGACGGATGAGCCAGCCACCACTGCGCTCGACCATATTTTAGGGAGCCCAATGACCCGGCCCACCACGCCGCTACAAGTCTGGACATTTTAGTGAGCATGAGGCATTTTCTCCCATTAAGCATAGAGCAAACAGAGATAAAGTGGAGGATTATATATATTGTTCATATTACATTTGAAAGAAATCGAAAAAGAAATCTAGTAATGTTTCTTATGGTATATGGGACACAGTTACTTATTTAGTTTATTATTTAAGCTGTAAAGGCCAGCTGTGTCAACAGTATTAGAGCAGTCCGAAAAAAGACTACAACAAGGCGTATGTAAACCTCTCATTAATGAGATACATTTGTAAATAAAATATATTATTATTATTATCTTATATAAGTATAAAATTCTCGTGGCACAATGTTAGTCCTCCGAAACGGCTTGAGCGATTTTTATGGAATTTTATGATAATCTATAAATTTTACATACGCCTAAGTGATAAGGGTTGTCCACCTGTAACATTTGTTTTTTGCCAATTTGTTTTTATGTGGCATTTAAATTACATACAACCCTAAATTTTCACCCTACTACCGTCAACCTCTATTAATAGCGATTTCAATTTATATGGCAAAACAACGTTTACATGGTCAGCTAGTTATATAAATGCAATTATTGCACCAATATGATAATATTGTTGATTACAATGATAGTTCAACGCAGATAGTAGCAGCGGGTAATATCTTTCATTTATCGTTACCGCCGTATCATCAATAACGGTGTTATTTTAATCCGTTAGCTTACGTTTAATCGTTTTATTAGCTTATACGTGTCATAGGCTTCAAATAATAAATATGACTACCTATTAGTTCGTACATAATATTAAAATTCTTAGAATAATGTTGTTTTGCATCAGTATTTGTTGGTATAAATTAAATAATTGATCACTGAAACATATATATATATATATATATATATATATATATATATATATCTGTAATATAAAAATTCTCGTGTTATTATTAGTTATTATTAGTAGTATATACTCCGATGCAGCTTATGCGCGTATATTCGATGGGTCTGAGAATCTGTTGTTATTTATTTATTTACTTTTTTTGCTTTCGTAGTGTAATACATACATCCTCCTAAAATTTCGCCTATTCACCATCAACCTCTATCTAAATATATATAACTTAAAGGTGACTGACGTAGTGATCTATCAACATACAGTCCAAACCACTCGACGGATCGGGCTGAAATTTGGCATGCAGGTAGATGTTATGACGCAGGCATCCACTAAGAAAGGATTTTGATTAATTCTACCCCCAAAGGGATAAAATAGGGGATGAAAGTTTATATGAAACTTTGTCAATTTTAAACCGATCGGGCTGAGACTTTGCATGCATAAAGCTACTATGATGTAGGCATCCCATAAAAATAGATTTTGATAAATTTGAACCCTAAGGGGATAAATTAACGCGAGCGATGCCGCGGGCAAAACCTATTTTTTTATATATACTTATATCTTAGGCTTATTAATTAGAGGCTCCACTTTGGACATAAATGTAACTAGTGGAGGGATCAAAAATGCCCAAGAAGTCACATTACTTTCATATTTCACGAAATGTCGTATGTAAGGTCGTTAGTAAATTAACTTCTATAGTATTACAATTCTTATGAAGCTTCTCACGGCAAAGGCAAGGATCCCTCGCCCGCTGTTTTCAATAAGGTGACGGTAAATTTAATTGTGAAGCCGACAACTGACTACTTTAAGCTGTTCCGTCAAGCCAGCGATTATAATTACAACTGTAATTAAAAGGCGTTGATAACGGTGAGACATACCCACATACAATGTGCTGGTTGGATGTATGAATTTGCATTTACACGGCGTAATAAAATTACTATTATTATTATAGGTCAATTCAACACTATGAAAAATGAAAATTGCCTGTGAATGGTTCAAAGTATGGAATAAAAATAAAGTTCTTTTTTGTCTGTGGATGCATCATTCATATACGAGAGTATGAAACTTCAGTAGTCTGAAATTTTATATATATTATTATAATATTTTTTTCTTTTTATATATAAAACAAACCGTAACCCGAGACTTTTCGTGTCCAATTTTACATCTCCCATTCAATATTATTTTTTATATATCTGCACTTGTATCGTCATGTATTTTTTTTATTAGAAAAGGTAAAAATATAGGAAAAGACGGACATTATTTTTACATTTTTATTTATAATAATGACACATATTAAGTTATTTATATGAATAAACAAAAATATTGTACTTTACTAGTACTTATGACACAAGATCGGCTTAGTTTGGAAGAAGATGGCACTGTGTGTATTGTTCAGGATTATTATTGTTATATTATTACACTAATTGAATTGGGCAAAGCAGCAATTAAACATACTAGTTCATACATACATGCTTCTCAAAACCTACGCATAAAATTTCTCCGCAAAAAGTAATTACATAAGTAGAGTGTACACGTAGAAATATACCTAAAAGCATACAGTATGGTAAAGTTATTATTTCCTACCTACAAGAACTACCCGAAATATTAAATTAATACAAATGATATGGCAAATTTTCGTGTGAACTCACACAAAGAGCCGGATTTACCCAGAGAACTAAGTTTGGAACAACTAGCCGATTGCTTGCGTGACTTGTAAGGCATTTATCGATCATTAATATAATTCCGACAACAAACATTGCTAAAAATGTATGAACACCTTTTAAAAAATATTTGGACATGTTTGCTAAAAAAAATTGCCGATTGCTTGCGTGACTTGTAAGGGATTTATAGATCATTAATACATATAACTCCGACAACAAACAGTGCTGCAAATGTTTGAACACCTTTTAAAACATGTTTGAACATGTATGCTCAAAAAAGATTAGCCATACGTCCCATGCAGATCGATGTAAGGGGATTATTGGTAATGTACCATGACCTCCATGCGGTTTCTCCAAGAAACCATCGTGGTGAATTCCTTCTGAATTTGTTACGGTGGGTTAACTAACCTGGCCTCGTGTTCATCCTATCATTATTCACTGGTGCTCCACCAGCATAAGCCGTAAGCACAGACGGGTGTACCATTTCAATATCATCTATAAAAAAAGTCGTCTGTATATGTAGTATTGTGCCTTTTGTTTTGAAGAGGAAGCGTCACTACACATCTTATTATACGTGGTTGAAGCCAACTTATGCATACACGAAATATCTCTTTTGCAAAGAATACACTCTATCCTGAGGAGATAAAAACCTTCTCTTATAAGATTTCCTTTAATTCTTGCCCCTGACGGCCTTAGTAAGTGAACTCTGAAATAGGGCAAGCAGAATAGATCTCTGTAGGCCGCAGTGCTACTCATGTAAAACACTGAGTAGTAGCACAAACCTTTCAATCAAAAAAAGGGTAGTGGTATGAAGGTACAGAGTAAGGTGGCGATGCCCTAATCCAAAGGAATAGGAACTTATCAGGGATACCACGCGTCATGTGAAGACGTGAGGTCAATTATAATGTTTAGATGCGAGGGTTACCACTTTACTCTAGTTCGACTGGACTCTAATTTACACAAAATCAATATTTGAGAACCAAAGTTTTTTTTCTGTTTTTAATTAATAATCATAAATAAATTATAACTCTATCATAGATTAAAAATAAACCAATTTTTTTTTACAATTACAGCCCACGGAAAGCGATCAGGCAGACCACCGGTGAGTGCCCCAGATTGGTACCTCACAAGGATGCTGCGACGTATAGCTTCTAACTCGGAACTGGTCAGTAAATTATCGTTATCACTTCAGCATGTATCTATTCACAGTTACGTCTGTATGTAAGGCCTTTTCCATTGTATTTAAGAATTTTTATCAGTTATGTAGTATTAATAACACAAGCTGTGTTTAGCTTTGTCACACATTTGTATGCAATGAAATGAAAAAAGAAAAAATATGATTTACCTAAAAAACAATTGGATTATAATAGTATAGTTATGGGATGTTCTATTATGATACAGCCAGGAATCCCGTCCTTCCATATCCATGTGTTTTTTTAAATGAGAAATTTAAAACAAAATAACCATTTACAACTAAATAAAACTCGCTTATTAGAAGTTAATATAAAAATTACAACCGGCATGTATGTGTATGACACTTTATATCGGTCTAGGTGTTTTCTATGTATATTAATTTATTTACCAAAAATAATTACCTAGTCTATCTAAGCGCTGACTCAAAAGCACTGCTTAATTTGGGACTAGACAAAGCTGTCTGAATTGTCCCGAGATATTATACATTAATGTATGCAGTAGACCATCAGCTTATTTGCCCTTCCGTTACATTACAAAAAATAAGTGAGCGTACAGTTGTAATTAAAAAAAATATTTATAACGAATTTCCACTTTCCCTCTTGAGTTCTTTAATAATTAACATTAACATAGAGCGACATCTGTTATCAAATATTTTGTTTTAATATACAACGCCATCTATCTATTGTACCTATAAACTTACAGGCTCACCCTCAGCCAATTGATTCAAGGAATGATGTCGCCATCTACCAGGTGGACACACCAAATGACTCGAGCGCTGCGGACAAACTGAAGTAAGGGTTTAATATTTTTTATATACTTTAACAGATAGCAGTAGTTAACATCATGACTTTATTTTAGATTTAATAACATTAATGTTAATAATAAACGCTAAATTTTGTGGGTATGGATAGATGTTTGTTACATATATATTTTTGTATATTAAATAATAGATAAAAATGACAAATATTATGTATAGAGGTGTGTCGTGTACAATCGTAATTTAGTACTTATCAAGGAACGCTATAATAATGTGTTTTTAATAAAAAAAAAATTCCAGCGTTGACAATGAAAACATCATCGTGGACTCCACAGCCAGCAGGAACGTTGAAGCAAAACCCATGTTAGATGATGAACTACTGGCGAAGATCAAGCTCTGGCAAATGATGGTAAAATGGAAACAAAATACTTTATTACTTACTGTGGACAATCATATTGTGGAATCACCATTCAGCAATGGTATTTCCGAACCGATACGATATTACCTTCAAGTATTCCTTCTTGAAAGGCCGACAAAGCACTTGCTATTCCCCTGGTGTTGCAGGTGATCATGGACGGGCACTTACCACCAGCTGAAACCAAAGCTAAGCTATAAAAAAGCGACCTGTCCAGAATTTATACAAAATTTTAACGATTTATACACTTCTCTCGAGAACTATAATGTTGATTTTTTATTGTAATGGTAAACAAGTTAACAGCCCACATGATGGTAAGTGGTAACCGTCGCCTACATACACGAACAGGACTACGAACATTACTTGAGGAACTTGTATTCCGAGTAATGTTACCTGCCTGTATACCACATAAATAAATAAATAACCCCTGGGCAATTAACACAGCGCACTCTATAGTCCCACGGTAAGCAGAGCTTGTGTTATGGTTATTAAAAAACTGATAGAAATACTCAGATATCATATTTTTTTGTAAATACATGCATAATATACATGGAAAACGTCCGGACCGATACAAATACAAATGTTTGCACCGTGCGAGGAATCGAACCCGCGACCATCGGAAGTAAAGCGGTGTGCTTAACCGCTAGACCACCGAGGCTGTCTGTAATTATAATTTTACAACTCGGTATATCTCACGGAAACAACTTTATTTGTAATCTATTTAATTAATTATGTTAATTACTGACTGAGCCCGAAACTATGCCATGCGCCGTGGCATTCAGACTAAAAATACTTTATATCATTCATACAACTGTTCTAAATCTGAAAAAAGATTTAAATGTCGTATAAAACACTTCCTTTGTAAAAAAACATATTATAAAATTAAAGAGTTCGTTAAGGATAGTAATGTTTTTGTAGAAATACTTAAAATTCATAGCGCTGACAATATTATATGATTGAACTAGCGGTTTCTATGTTGATTATTGCATGCCTCTTACTTGTTATTGTGTAATTATTTATATAAAAAAACAACTATTCCAAGGAACAACACAGAAGTTTCTTGCTCAATCTTCTTGTGATGAATCTGCATTCCGAATGAGTGGTAGAATCAAAAATATGACTTTTTAATAATGCAATAATGCTTTTCAATATTGAGTTCATTTGTATTAAGATTATTTCTATTTCCAAATCATTTTTGTTACTAAGGTGATTAGAATAAAACAATCAAAAAGTTTTAAGTAAATGTAATTAATATAATCTGCTACACATTATTGAAATACGCCTTCAAAACGGTGAATCTGTTTCTGAAATTAGCGAGCACAACCTCATCGACAAACAAACAATAATTCTAGGAATCATAGCTTTATATTCTGTTATATTAATAATGTCGTATAATAATAGATTTCTGGTATATCTTCTATGTACAGACGGCGATTAGAATAATTTTCATTATATACATATATATCTTCTTATATATAAAATTCTCGTGTCACAATGTTAGTTACCATACTCCTCCGAAACGGGTTGATCGATTTTTATGAAATTTTATATATATATTCTTCATACCCCTAAGTGATAAGGGTTGTCCACCCCTAACATGTGTTTTTATTTTTATGTGTTTTAGTTTTTATATAGGTTTTAGTAGGGTAACTAACATTTATATATACTAACATTAATAATTTTGCAAAAATTTTTTTCAGAGAGACGCGACAGACGACAAATGAATAGCAAAATAAACAATTATATGGACTGACGTTATTTTCCACACTTCATTTTCAAAAATTTTATTTAATAATTTATTTAATTGTTAACATAGTTAATAAAAGTCTATTCATCGTATTTAGTTAATATTGTCAATTGTAAGGCTGGGTTACAATTGACCGTAGCTTGTATAATATAGACTATAGTATAAAATGTGCCACTCCATGTTAATAAAGCTGTTATAACATCCACTTCGTATCACTTTAAGATTAATAAAACTAATTTACTTTTTAATTTAGTTTCCTTAACATTATTTTATCGAAATGAATTATAAAAACATATTTATCTTCATAACTGAGTTAATAATATTGTTTAAATTTAACTCTATTCATTTATATTAATTGAAATATTTCTGTGTTTTTGTATTACAATAACTTATTAATAATAACTTATAGTTTTTATTATGTTTCTAGTTAGAAACGCAATGAAAAATATAAGTTTATATTAATTTAGTTCTAAAGCTACACAAAATCATTACAACTATTTTTTTTAACTCAATTTTTTTAAGGTCTATGATCATATTATGATAATGCTAGTAAACCTTATTCCAAATCTAGATATCTCTATATATACATTTCTATCATATGTTATAACAATGATACTAAACAAAAAAAGATTATATTTAATTAATTTAGTTAAACTAAATTATTAATAGTAGTTACTAAACTATCACGTGACTGTTACGTAATGTAGCAATGAATCGTCGAAAGTGAAACTAGATAAATCATGTATACATACGGGTAATGAAAACAAATGCTTTGTCTGATACTTTGTTTTCTATAAAAAGAAAATGTTATTTACGTGTAAAATTGCTAACATTGTTTCATGTTTATTGAATGTAATATATAAATTGGAACTGTGAAATGAAATACATAGCAGATTTATTGTGGCGTATTCATTTATATATTTCAACTAATAGGCATATCCCTTTCTAATTTTTATTATGTATTTGAGGGTAATATTGGTTTCATATGTTACTATTAAAATACAACCACATTTCTAATATAATTGTAGAAATTATAACGCTCTTATACATAGGAACTCACACTATTATAGAACCTATCATGTTTTTTTATAAATGTATTATAAGAAATATTAATATTCCTCCATCTACGTTTTGCAATTACTCTAAAATTAGATAATATTTGTATTTAATTGAAACAAATTATACTCAAACCGGTAGAGAGGAGATCCCTCACAAGGTTCAAGTTTACATTATTTATTTTATTTTATTATTATAGAAGAAATAAATCGTTTATAATCAGATCATTCTTCAAATAATTTGTGACTGAAGCGGGACTATTTACAATTCAAATTCAATTTCAAAAAACATTTATTCGTGTTGGCTATCTTAGCCGCTTATGAACGTCAAGTTTTTACATTATAATAGTATACCATTAGAAATTATTTACAATAACTATTTTGTTCATAATCAGAATAATAGGTGTATATTTCCCAAAAGGGCTCAGTAAAGAAGTAAAAAAATAACATAAAAAACAGATATCAAAATAATATAACGTTTATAAAAAGAAGGATAGATGAGGAAGCTGCCAGCAACATTGTTAAAACTACAAATAAGCGAAATCCAGTATAATTACACTGATTAATAAGTAATGATTTCTGACAATAAACATATAAGTACCTACGATTTGAATCAAAAACATTTCAGATTAAATAAATCAATCAATCAACCAATCAATACATAGTTAAATTTAAAGAAAAATAACATTGCTAGATATTGAAATATTGAGTATGAATAAATTTTAAAATTTGAAAAACCATTTTGAATTTACATTTTGTAATACCGTACAATTATATATCTTAATAAGTATATGTACGTTTATTTATTTTTAATCTGTGCTGTATTGTAAACGTATGTAATTATTTTGAAATTAACCATTCTATAATAATGCAGTATTCCATATATATGTCCATCCTACCTGTACTAAACTCACAACTAATAAAAGAAATGCCAAATAACTTTACACACAAGGTAAAGGCCAGTTCACTAAAAGCTTTGTTGCTATATAACTCTCGACGGATAAATGTAGCGCTAATTGCTTAAATAAAAAGGGTCCAATTCATAAGCGCCGCGGGAAATGCTCTGCATCCGCCATCGGCTATTACAATTTGTTGCAATAGCCGATGGCGGTTCTGCCGTTCACACGATTTTGTACAAAAGAAAAAAATGTAATCAGTTATTTTATATACATACTAAATTTAACAGTCGGCACGTCACTCATGTGTAGTCATTCTAGAGCAATGTTTAGCAATTCTCAAATAGTTTTTGCTGCGTACCACTTATTGTATTAGTGTGATACTAATATTATAAATGTAAAAGTTTGTGAATGGGTGTGTATGTTTGTTTTACTGATAGCCGCACGTACCCCTTGATGCAACTTTACGTACCCCTGAGGGTACGTGTACCACTAATTGGGAAACACCGTTCTTGAGGACTAAGATGTCATCTCTCTTATCCAGTTAATTCACTACTTAATTTACGCCCTACAACCGAAACACAACACTTACAAAGCAAACTGATTGACAACTAATATAGTTTATACTGAGGCACACACACAGACGATTATTTGCAGTATATCTTTGGTAATTTTTTGTGACTTCAATTTTTCAGAGGATGTCTGAAATATTATTATATCCGCTCATAATTTGGACCAACCCTGAACTGGATGACCATCAAAATACTAGCGGGCCCTATTAGCGAACATACTTGACCGCTATGAGAGCGGGTGTAGGTTCTCTATCTGTTGCATTTTTAGTTCACAAAGTGTTTAATAGGGTATCTTCTTTTAAAACAATGTAATTTATAAATCGCTATAAAAATACTGAAGTATTCTTTAAACCGTATATAAAACCAAACAATATATAAAAATTAAATAATATTACCTATGAAGATAACTTGCATTTTACTGTTGTAAATAAATGTTGTTCTAAGTAAATACATATTAACAAGGATTAGGCATGCGATGGTCAATGTATGAAATCGCTAGGCATTCAATCTATGTGCAATCAGATAATATTGTCAATGCTAAGAATTTTAAGTTAATTTCTCTACAAAAATATTATTATCATTTATAAACTCTTAATTTTTATAACCAGCTTTTTTACATGTATTATAAGACCTGGCATACATGATATTTTCGTAAATATAGTGAGGAGCAGATTCGAACTTACCACCTTTGGGTGTAGGTCGCGGTAGTCAATCGCTAGACCAGGACGCCCTCTAAAAAATAGACGTTACAAATATAACCTGTCCTCCAAACAGGAGTTGGCAAAGTAGAGATATATAACTGGACAAAAATAACATATTGTCCAGTGTTGTGAGAAATCACCGTTCACATATAGCGTCATTGGTCATTTAACACGAAAAGTGCCACCTCGCTACTGACGACAAAACTGCCACCAACAACGAAAACTATAAACCTATGACATATCTCTCTTATGGTGACGAAAAAAACAAGAGTTTTTTTCAATAATGATAATGGATGCGTGATAAATGATGCAACCGAGTCTTGTAGCAGTCTACACTGGCGGGGCACCAGTGGAAGAAGATAAGATAAACATAAAGACAGGTCCGTTAACCCATTGTAGCAAATTACCAGGATTATATTTATGTTAGACGGCCTTGGTGACCTATCGATTTAGTACATTGCCTTACTTTCCATGGTCGCGGGATTCGATTCCTCGCACGACAAACATTTGTATTCATCTGTCTGATTTATTGTATCGGTTTAGTCTTTTCTATGTATAATATGTATGTATTTACAAAAAACAAAGAAATATCTATGTGTTTGTATCAAAAATTCAAAATATCATTATTCATGTCTATTGCAGACTCTTATGATATGTCAAATCTACCGTCAGTTTGGAGTGATTTCGAAATGAGAAGAACTGATAAGAAACTCAGCTCGTATTTTTAGTATCGTCGTCGTTTAGTATGGTTGTTTCAGTTATCTAGTACCCATAACACAAGCTTTAGATAGCTTAACTTGGGTCTAGATGGCGCTGTGTGAATTGTACTGAGATTAGTATTATTAACAAAAGTCTATATAGTGTTATGATATATCACATCTAACGTTAGTTCGGAATATTTTAGAGTTAGGGAGAACTGTCAAGAATCTCAGCTTTTATACTTTTCAAATGAAGCTCACGCATGTGATGACAAAAATACAAATTCATATTAATTCAATTAGGGAGAATGTAGTGACATTCCGGTAATATGTAGCTTTGACTTGAAATTCGTGACCAATTGATCCAACCCTACAGCTACCGAAATCTTTTACAGGCTATCCCCCCACATGAGGGAGTGCAGGTGTGGACTGTGAAATTTTTGTGCATTAAAACCCAGACGAAATAGCTCTGATCCGCCATTGTCTGAAATACGAACTTGCGTTAGAATTTTACCGCAATTCCACAATAAGATGCTGGTACCTCGTATGTAGGTACTCTCTTACTTGTTGAATTGCTACCCATATTCACAGTTCATATGGTCGCACATCCTCTATTCAGTTCTTGACAGATTCGTGTTATTGTAGTGTTAGAACGCAACTAAGATGTATTGACCTTCCTTGTACCATTAACTGTATTTCTGCTACCTGAAAATCTTTAAAAATTGTCCTAATCTGTAACACAAACTAGAGGTATAGTAAGACATAGAACTTATTTAATTATTTAAAAATAAAATACAAATAAAACTGTAGTTTAAAAAAAAGATGACATTTTATATTATTCGTTAAAATCAGTAAAAACTGATTTTAACGAAACAAAAATGATTTTAACGATTCAAAGAGTTATTATCCTATAAAAAAACTTATTTTTTTCTCCATAGTTTTTCATACCTATAGTCTATGATAATAGAAAAAGAGTGCTTTTTAGCAGAGCAAAGAAACAGAAATTTCCTACTGGTAATATTTCAACATACTGTTTCTCACTTAAATTTGTAAAATAGATTTTTTCGGCCTACTCTGCTGCTGTTGGCCGCAGCTGGTCTTTACAGCTTTACAGGACGATACGGGGTGAATGCAGATGGCACTCCAAATCAGCGGAAGGACTTATGGAATACACACGCCTGACGTCAGGCACGTCTGAGGGCATCGCTAGTGGTTCGAGTCTCGGCTCAGGCCGTCGTAATTACGATCCTCATTTGAATTGAACAGGGGATCGATCGGAAGGCTGTAAT